GCAGAAGCAATCAATTAACATATTAAAATAAGAGAAGCAGAACAAGTCATTCAGCCCCTGTGTAGATTATAATGCCCATGTCGATAATCGATATTGAGAAATATTAAGAAGTTGGACCACTCACTACTCCATGATGAAAGTTTCTGGAGCTATAATTATCAACATATTTGCAAAAAAGTACAACACATTTGTAAAGAAATTTCCATTTTGATTACCGTGATTATTTATTTACAAAGAATCATGCTTTTCAGTAAATAACATTAATGTTAGCTAATAGATATTGAAAAATCCTAGTGTATTGAAGGCAGTTTGACGATACTCTTTTGTCCAGAAATGGCACAGACTTGAATTCACCACAGTAGACCGTTCCTTGGATGCTATGGTTGTTTGTTCGGCGGCACGGACCCAACATTCTGCCACCTCCATCAGATCAGAGCACAAAGCTGGTGACATTTTCTGGATGTTTTCAGGTTCTCGCTCTTAAACACTTTATCCAATCCATTTGACTCCGTAATCCACCAGGAAAGAGCTCTTTTCTCCCGTTCTCTCCAGCTTCTTTCACTTTGCCCTCTGACTTCACTGAATGCTTGTATGAGTTTCTGAGAGTTGGGTAACTGGATTTTCTCAGACTATAACATGGGCCTAGTATGAGTCTTGTGTGTGTGTGAACGATCGGTGGTGGTTGGAGAGGCCAATAACACAAATGCGTTGCTATGCTGTTGTCAGTCAGCGTTAGGGCAGATGTGGCTATAATAGAAGATTACAGCGCCATGTACAGAGGGAATGAATAATGCCACGTGAAGCATCCAGAGAAGAGATCATACAAAACACACACAAAAAATGTATTCAGCATGATTGATTATTTTGTAACATCCTATATAGTTCAATATAATTAATCAACATTGCCTTACAAAAATTGCTACAAGCCGTTAAGCCGCTTTGTAAGAAAATGTGCATGATTATCAAAAAACATGAGATAAATGAATTGTCACATTGTTGTTTGCTTTTCTCCTTTCCCATGCAGACAAAATAGTCATGTGTGGTCAAACCAGTTAAGTGCCCATATCATTACCTTCTTAACATATATGATTTGCCTGCTAAACACATACTCAGCTGTACTATGTGACATATACGTTTTCCTTCAGCTTCTTTGTTAGTTTTTTTCTGCTTTTTTACTTTTTTCTCCTTCCCCATGGGTTTCTAAGGCAAGAGGGAGTGGGGTGAAAGAAACTTAATCCTTCTATTGAACAAGAGGTGCACTGGTCGGGGGGGAGCTTTTTTCCATTTTAACCCTTGTCAAAAAAAACTACCCTGCATCTACCTTCACTGAAAGCCTGCAATTAGTTGTCCTAAATAACATACATTATAGCATTTTAGAGAGTAGCGTCTAGTTGAAGACTTTTCTCACAGAGGACTGAATAGTAATTTCTGACATTGACAGTGATGAATGGAAGATGCTAACGGTACATTATAAAACATGTTTCCCACAAATCTATTGCCAAATAGACTTAGGGCAAGTTACTATGTGTTTAATTTAACAGACAAGAATTAGAACGCTTTCAACACAGTCATAGCAAAAATGTCTGGCCAGTTTCAATCTGCAACACACACACACATACATACATATATATGTATTTAACATGCTTATTTTTCTCTTTTGAAATGCATGTTGAAATTAAAATAGACAGAGCTTCGTGACAGAAAAGGGTCAAATTGAATCTCACAGTTAAACGATCATGTATTTATTTCATTTCTTTTTTCAACAAAAAGCAGATAATTGCGTGACTGCTAAGCTCCTCCTCTCTCTGTCGGTGGTACAGCTAAGCCACGTTATAATAATATTCCCTTTGTGATGGTTGTTAAAAGCAATTTCCATTGATTGACAGAATAATTGCACTGAGCAGCACCCGCAGCTGCACATGTATGGTTTATCAGACGTGAGAGAAATGTACAACAACGTAACCTCACAGATCCCAAAAAAAAGAACAGAGGAAAAGTGCACAAACACAAAGAACAGGCGCACTGTAAGAAGAAAGAAGAAAAAGGCTCCGTCCTGGCGGCACCGGACACTCTGCTGTAAAACAAGCACCGGCTCCTCAGCTGAGTGAAGCCCCAGGCCGCGGTCAGGGGCCACAACACACACCACACTCTACTTTATACACACGCACACACACCACTGTTTACCTCAGTCTTAAACACTGAGGTAAACAGCAGTCACACACAGCACCTGCAGAGCGCTGCGGACACATATGCAAAGAATGCATATGAAAACATGAACAGAGAAGTGTTGTCGTTGGTGACTGGACAATATGTCGTTACATACTGTATCTGCATAATACAAACTTCAAGTGTATTTCTGTAATTCAACTTAAAGAAACAATGCATTATGGAAAAAAATTAATGCAAAGTGCCATATTGCAGGCCTCTGGATAATATGATTGATTATGGATTGCAGTCCATTTTAAAATTATTGTAATATTTTCTAATTTTATTCTATATACTCTAATGTCACGAGCCAATTATCAACATCATAGCAAATGAAGTCTCGATAAATCTCACTTTGCATGTAATCTATATCATATATTATCAATTTTAAAAAAAAAAAAATTTTTTGCTGCTACTGGACACCTGAATTTCTCCTACGGGCATCAATAAAGTGTATATCTATCTATCTATATTAATTTAACAGAATTACAGAAGTAAAGAAGTAAGAAGACTTTAAAACATCAATCTATGCTTCACTTGTATGTGTAGAAACAGAAGCAAACACAATCCACATAAAAATACTGACGAAACAATACTTTACTTTATTTTAATAATTATAGTGAGTCCAGTGTGAAAATTAAAGTTTTACTTACTCATTTTAATGATATATTTATCTCATGTATCATACATTTCAAAATATTTCACAACCTGAAACGTTATAGATCATGGAATTATTGTATCGTTATTATATATGAATATCAATAATATAACAAATTATATAAATATGAATATAAATTGATATTTAGGTGCATTAGTTCTTTCTGCCCATCATATCACATGTGGCCTTTCTGTGTCTGTGACAGATTAAAGTTTGCGTGCAAACATACAAGAGAAATCAGCCAGATGTAAATGATTGAAGCACAGTGAGTGGTTTGTGGTGTGTGTGAAGTGTATGGAGCTGAAAACTATGTCAGCGCTCACGCACCAGTGCTCCCATTTACTGGTGCTGCATCTTCAATGTGTAGATCTGGAGCAGCGCAATTGAGAACGATCAAAACATACTCAGCAGGATCGAGTGGACTCAAAATATGGACATAAAACACACTTAAAAGCACTGAGCCGTCCCTCTGTGCAAATGTATTCATTGATTAAAGCGATACTGGTGTCTTTGTAGTGAACAATACGACTCACTTCTGATTATTGCACCGTGATGACATGTCTTAAAACAGCTCTGTACTTATTGCTCTATTGTCGGAACCGTATATAACATTAAGTTTAATTTCACATTTTATTATGTCTAAAGATTTCCATTTTTACAGCCCAATGTTGTGGTAACTACCTACAAAGTTATAGCCAGTTATAATGTTGCCAGTGCATATTATTGATGTAGCTCCTCAGACTTTGTTACGTTTGGAAAGTTCTTAATTTGTCTTCTTTATGTTGAAGGCTTTAGCAGTCTGTGTGATCGGCCCCTCCGATCATCACCGCTCAACAATCCCAATCACTCACCCACTAGATTCAAACCCACCCAGACACGGGGAGAAAAAAGCCAACTCCACAGAAAAGCCGAGGTTGGAATCGAACCCATGACCCTGTTGCTGTGAGGCCACCATGCCACTGTGACCTTACAGAATAACTCAAGGCCAAGTCATAGTTTCTAACTTAGAACACCCATGCCTAAACGTTAAACCTCAGTAGTTCTTGTATTTAACTTCTGAAATGACACAGTAAGAACAATGGTTATCTTTGGTTGAATAATTGGTCAACTAAAAACTGGGAGTAACCAATGCAGAATCAAGATCAGAATTGTTGTTTTTTTCCATTGCAAGTACAAATAAGGAATTTGATTTGGCATATGATGCAACAAAAGGCATGCATAAAAATGTTTAATTCTAATATGTAAAAAATGTAACTTTAATTTGTAAATTCATACAAACCCATTAGTTCTATGTGTCTGACCATTGCACTCTTTTTAAAATTACTAAGGCAAGAAGTAAACAAGGTTGCTATTCATAAAAAGGTTGCCTGAACTGAATACCAACTTTGATGATAATTTCTTCTATTCTCGTGTATATCCCAAGAATTCATCATTTAAAAAACTGTCAGCTGATACATATGTTCATCAACAAGGAGTCTGTGTGGACTGATTAATTACAACAAAAACAAAAAGCCCCAGAATACAGTAGATGTGGTCATGTCCTGCTGGTGAGGCATGTGGCTCTTTCACCTTCTCCTGGGGTTGGATGTTTGGGAAGTGGGAGTCTGTTTGCTCAGTGTCTCTGCTGCACTGCTCCTCAAAAGCTCCTTTGCTGATTTGATTGTAGAGCAGTGCATTTTTCATGAGCTTCTATAGATGCAACATTTTCCAGCTTCATCTTCTTTGAAAACTAGTTTAAAAGGAGCCTGATTTCTGTCTTTATATTAAACTCAAACAATGAATAGAATAGTTATACAATAGTCAAAAGTCAGTCATTTGATCTTACTCTCTCCCACAATGCTATCACAATTCATCTTTCCTTCACATTTTAGATTCAGGTCAAACAGAGTACATTTTGCACCAAACAGAATTATCCCCGAGCCATCGCCAGAACCATCAAGTACATTCTTTAAAATTCAGCAATATATAAACATTGTATTCATTTTAAGTCGAACTTTGTCATATCAATGAAACTGGTCTTCTAAAGGTGCTACCCTTGCTTCCTGGTGTATGACCCATCTTTATGTTTTTGTGTTTCCAAAGTAGCTCAGTACGACTTTAAATCCTCCCTCACACTTGTGTTTGTGTGTCCTCGCAGCCGTTCCACCCCCTGGTAAACCTGGAGTGCAGTGCGGACCTGCGGATGTTCCTGTGTGCGCTGTACGCCCCGGTCTGCACAGAGTACGGCCGCGTGTCCATGCCGTGTCAAGGCCTCTGTCAGCGAGCCAAAGACGAGTGCAACAAACTATTGGGCATATTTGGACTGACGTGGCCAGAAGACATGGACTGTAGCAGGTATGTGCTCAGGACAAGCTGCGCCTGGTTCACAAAGGATGGTCCTCAAGATTATGACTTGAAACTACAGATTATTGATCTCTCAAATTGTGCTGTCATGACTGATCTAAAAGTATGTCATGCTTTTGGTCAGTCGATATTGAGAGAGGTAATTCTTGTATTATTTGTGTACAAAGTCAGGAGTTTATTTCAGTGAGTGGAAATGAAATATAGATTTTACATAATGTATCCAGTTTTCACTGTTTCACCAATATTAAGAATATCAAAGAAGGCGAGGTGTCCAAATGTGCCATTTTGGAAAACTCAAGAGTTTTTTTTATTTTTTCAAATTTTTGTTTGAAGTTAACATTTTGGAAGAATAATGTTGGGGAAAAAAACAGCAGGAACAGGTACAGGTGGAAGAGGTACTGCTGACAACAATGCACAACCTGAAAAAAAGCGGAAACCATGTCTTAATAATAATAATAAGTGTGTTTATTTGGGCTTCTAGACAATACAAAATTAATGACACAAAAGAGAAGCACAGAAAAAAACAAGAGGGAGTTGGCAGAAGTTGGAACAGCTTATCTGGGCCTACCCCCTGTTACCATATACCCATCACCGATATATTGTTATGATAAAAAACAGTGAGACAGAAGTGAAGTAGGACAATAGGGACTCAATATTCACATAATTTACCACCACATGATTAAAACAGAATTACAGGTTTAAAAATTACTCAAACATTACATAACCTACTCAATTAGTATTAGTTCATATTTAGTTGGTATTTCATGTTTCAAATCTTCTACTTTTCTGCCCGGTGAAGACTTTGTTTCTTGTTTCCAGGTTTCCGGACTGTGATGAGTCGTACCCTCGTCCTGAGGACTTGGAGACGAGTCCTGAGACCACAGACCAGTCCTCCCTCACGGTGCAGAGGGACTATGGCTTCTGGTGTCCTCGAGAGCTCAAGGTCGAACCCGAGCTTGGATACTCTTTCATGGACAGGAAGGACTGCTCTCCTCCCTGTCCCTCCATGTATTTTACCCAAAAAGAGCTGAAGTTTATGCGCTACTTCATCGGGGTTATATCCGTCCTCTGTCTGTCTGCAACGCTCTTCACCTTTTTGACGTTTCTCATTGACGTTACAAGGTTTGAAACATCTTCTGATCCGTATTAAGAAATCGTGTGCGTACCTGTGTAAACCAGATGTGACGTGTGCTGTGTGTTTTTAGGTTCAGATATCCAGAACGGCCAATCATCTTCTATGCTGTCTGTTATGTCATGGTTTCGCTGGTGTTCTTCCTGGGTTTTCTTTTGGAGGAGAGGGTGGCATGTAATGGAGCCAGTCGGGCCCAGTTCAAAGCTGCAACCATCACTCAAGGCTCTCACAACAAGGTAAGATGTAATGGCCCAGTTTTTCGAGTTCAAAGAGCCAAACATATATCTGACACTGTCCTCCTCTTCAGGTGTGCACCCTGTTCTTCATGGTGCTGTATTTCTTCACCATGGCAGGCTCCTTGTGGTGGGTTATATTGACAATCACTTGGTTCCTGGCTGCTGTTCCTAAATGGGGCAGCGAGGCCATAGAGAAGAAAGCGCTCCTCTTTCATGCGGTTGCCTGGGGCCTCCCAGGGGCCCTGACCGTCACCCTGCTGGCCCTCAACAAAATTGAAGGAGATGGGATCAGTGGAGTGTGTTTCATAGGACTGTATGACATAGAAGCCCTGAGGTGGTTTGTTCTGGCACCGCTCTGCTTCAATGTGGCAGTGAGTACAGTGGGAAATGAAGGAGTGGGCACATGAAAGATAGATCAATAATGTAAAAATGATGTATGTGGGATTACCAAACCAAGTTATCAGACATTCTTCGTCCCTTCTAACAACTCAAAACCTAATTTCTCCTTTTCCATATCTCTATGTGTAGGTGGGTGTGGCACTGCTTTTAGTGGGCATCGTGGCTCTAAACCGTGTGAGGATGGAGATCCCACTGGAGAAAGAGAATCAGACCAAACTGGTGAAGTTCATGATCCGCATGGGCATCTTTTCTGTGCTCTACCTTGTGCCCCTGGTTACTGTGATATGCTGCTATTTCTATGAACATACTTATCGACACCTTTGGGAAACCACCTGGATGCAGGAGAACTGCCGCTTCTACCACATCCCGTGCCCATATAAGGTATTCCCAATAAACAGTAATATTATAGCTTTAGGCCCTGAGGAGCTGCTATTTCTCATACAAAATTAAATGATTTTATGAACACTGCAATTTTCATATCTCAACAATGAATTATTAAAAAGGAAAGAAGGCCCATAGGGTGTCTTTTCAAGGCTATTTTATGTCTAAAGACTGATCTCAAGGTCTGTCATCTCTGGTGGACACACAAATACTCCTCGCTCATCACTACCTTACCCCCCTGGCTTCCAGTGAAAAATAAATGGAATGAATAAATTCAGATCCTTGTGTCGGCCCTTTGAGCCACTGAGGCCTATTTAATACATTAGGCTATAAGTTGTAACTCACTTCAACTGTTTAAAGTAAAAAAGATTTCGTCCTAGGATATTTAGCATTTTAAATTGTTCAACTTTATATATATTGTATGTGTTTTAATATTTAACTTTGTCCAACGTGCTGGAAGTTAAAAGGTTAAAATCCCATATAATGTAATCAAACGGTCATTGTTGGTCTTTATTCTGAAATAGATAGCTTTGTGCATCATTACCTCAGATAATCTTCCTGTAGAAAAGTAAAATTCGCTTCTTCCTAAATCCATTACCTCTCATGTCTCTGGCTTTTCCTGTTTCAGTCTCTGCTTTGGACTTGCTCGGTCATGCACTGCTGCCTGCCGTCTATGAGCCCTTTGTGGGAGTTATTATGGAGAGTCAGGGGGTGTGCTAGTCCATACAGCCCATCTCTGAATTATTAACCAAAATAAACCTGCACAGTCCTGTCTCACGCACGGTTGTTTATGTTAAAATAAAGGCACTATGAGAGAGTTTAGTTTGGCTGTGATTGTCCTTAAAGATATTTTCACACATGATCTTTAACCACCTGCAGACACCGTGAGCTTTTGGCGCTCTGTTTATTGCTCTGTCAGTCTGTGGTAGTCCTTAGTTTTATTATCATTGCTGTTTGGCTAATGACCTTTCAGAGGTGCGCAGTAGTGCTTGGGTCGCCCTGATAATGGGACAGTGCTGTGGAGTCGTGAGTGACAGTAGTCTCAGACAGGACTGGGGCAGGTGCAGGCACTTGTGTTACTGGTGTGCGTGTGTGGACGTTCATGAAGACAGACCCCCTAAAGTCCACTGCAGCTTTGGAATGTCATTATTGCTGCGTGTTACATGATCTTTGCCCCTGAGGGATGCGCTTGTTAAGAGCAGCAGTTTCAAGGATTTTGTATAATTAACCATTTTGAGGATGTTAGCATCTCAATGCCTAACCTACAGATGAGCTTGTTAAACAAAGTGTTTTGGCATGTCAGTCAAAAAATCCAGAGGAAGTTTGTGGATTATCATAATTCCATGCAGTATGAATAAACGCACTAATATTTTGTTCATCATAATTTAACTCTTGCTATGCCCTGTCCATTTAAACCAGTGTGTCATGTTCGTTGAAATATTGAATTTTTGAAAATGAGCGAAAATTTTGAGCTGACGTCTCCTTTTTTTGCTATTGAATAGTCAATACTTTTTTTCTTTGTGCATATTTGTTTGACTATTTGAAAAAGCGTGTCATTCTTGTTTTCGTTTCAGCTGGTCGTATGAAATGTGATTTTTTTATAAGGTTTCAAAAAGGTTGGGGAACACTGATCTGAACTACATACATTCAAAAATATAATTTTTTTCCTCAAAGGATGCATTCTTACAAGCCCATTCCCCCTCTGGTGGCAAGACGACAGCATTACAACCACAAAAATATAATCTACCCTTTCTTTACCATATCAAACATGTTTTTTTTATTGTTTAAATAATCGTAGCTTCCAGCCACACATTTATTTATTTATTCATTTCTTAGGGATTACCTCTTAAGATGAATCATCTCTTTTTTAATGCCTATAATACAAAAGTCACAGAGAGTATAGACAAGACAACCTGCACACAAACCGTACATATAAACAGATCTCTTTGTGTCGTCTTCAGGTGGAGCAGACCAGTCATCCTGCTATGGTTGTGTTCCTTGTCAAATATCTCATGATGTTGGTGGTTGGCATTCCCTCTGTTTTCTGGGTTGGAAGTAAAAAAACATGCTACGAGTGGGCCGGTTTTCTCCAAGGACGGCGACGCAAAGAGTATGAATGATCTTATAAATGATAAATACCACCTCATATTTGTATAATAACTTGTTAACATTGGTTGTGATCTTTGTAGCAGCGGCGTTAATGAATCTCGGCAGGTTCTTCAGGAGCAGCTGGACTTTACTCAGTCTTTACTTCGTGAACCGAATACTCCTGTTGTCCGCAAGTCCAGAGGAACATCCACACAGGTACGATGGAGAGCAAATATAATAGATGTGAACTAAAGTCATTTTTGGTCGCATGAGGTCACAGATTCACACATACACAATGTTATCTATAAATGGTCTATTTACCGTAGCTATGACTACTACCAACATCCATCCATGCGTTGTCTTCCCCTTAATTCATTTCTGGGTCGGGAGGTGGCAATCAGAGCTGCACCCATTTCACCGAGCACCAGCCCCTCACTGATCCTCCTGCAGTTAGTGAATCCACCTGAAGATGGCTGCTCTGTCAGTGACAGTATAGCCATTCTCAAAAGTGGGGTAAAGAGTCCGTGAAGAAGGTCTTGTGGGGGGATCGAACCTATGACCCTCAGGCTCAAAGGCCAATGATCTACCAACTGAGCCACTGTCACCCCCACTGCTACCACCAACAGTGTTTGAAAACAACAAGAGTATTCTGAATACTTTTACGCTCATTTGCATATTACAGTGTAAACATTTTGCAATGGATTAAAATGTTAAATTAATTACTGGCATACATCACTAAACGTGAAATATGAGTAATAATATATAAACCAAAATAGTTTATTGCGGATTATTGGGTCAGTCTGTCTGGTGCATACTGAGATACTCTTGCACAAGTACTTGTACTATTTTTACTGTATGTCTTTAATTGTGAAGTGCTTTGTGAATTTGGTCTGTGAAAGCGGCTAAAAAAATTAACTTTACTTTCTCACTTACTTTCTTACTTATTCTGAAGTGGTTTTACTGCAAATTGCAAATTAAATGTAATCAATCTGCATTGTAAAAGTAACTGTATTTTGAATAGTTTCTCAAAAATAATATTTTGAATAACACGTTTATCCTTGTTGCGGTGCATCTTCAGGGAACCTCCACTCACGCGTCCTCTACAAATCTGGCTGTCATTGATGACATGGAGAAACCTCAGCGGACACAGCGGCCCTCGTCCACCAGGAGCAGGGGCAGCAGTGTCCACAGCAAAGCCAGTTACCATGGCAGCCTGAGACGCACACGCGAGGACAGGTACAACCAACACATGCCTCCATATTTAAAGATAATGTTTAATGTTTGTTTTCCACTTTTTACAGGAATGACACGGCCACTCCCCACGCTACAGATGAGCAGAGTTTACGCAGCACCGTACCGACGATTGAGCAGCCAGCGTCCGCTCGGAGCAGCCTCAATCCGATCGAGGACCACTCCACTACCAACCAGACCAGTCCACGGGATACAGCTGAAGCCCCCAACACTGTGATCACCCACGGGACCACCACACTGGACTCCAGAGCCACAGACAACAACGGCACAAGTGCTTGAATAATCGCTTTAAAACATTGGTAACTGTGGGTGCTCTGGTCTGTGAGGTGCAGTGGCTGCGAACTCACAAATGGCCTGTTGTCTACTGTATTCTAAAAGCAGCCAACGAAGTCTGCAGCTGAAAGAACATGGAAGAAATGAGAGATGATTTGGTTTGAAAGTTTGTACAACCGTGAACTGAAGTCATATGTTTACGTTCAGTTCTTTGTGTGGACTGGATAATATTGGAGGTCCTTTCTTACAGGGTACACAGAAGCTTTGTTACAATCAACATTTTGCTAGTTTTAAAAAGAGAAATCACGTGTTGTATTTCATCCTAATTTTTACTAGTCTTGTGTTTTGTATGAGGGACACATTTGGGCCTATTTATGTGTTAAATTTTAACTGTGAAGCATAGGAGAGAACAGCTACAGTCCTGTGAAAGCGAGGGGGGAAGATGTAGGTCTACGGCTGAGAAAGGAGAGTGGTGGAGTTTGTCTACAATTAAACACTGAGCCACTCTTTCCTCGATTCTTTCATTTTTCAGCTTTCAATGAGCTCATGTCTTGTCTCTCCTTACTGCACTTCCTCTATGGGTGCAACCTCCTCACACATTCTCTGCTGAAAAAGGGGAGAATCAAGGAGGAAAGAGATTGAGATTGACTCAAAGAACAACACACAACAGCCACTTGAGAACATTGTTTTCCTCAATGCCTCTTTAATTATTATTGAATTATAAACTACTGGTTATATCTCTTGATGCCTCATGGCTGCACATTGAAGAACCTTTAATATTTTTATTAAAGGGCTACATATGTAAGACTAATCCCTCGACAGTGTACTTACTTCTTCTGTTTGGTTTTTTGTGACTGTGATGCCTTCATGCCACAGTTCTCACGGTTGATGTTTTTGGACCTACCTCAGCTGTACTCTCACACCGCACACAGGAAACAGGGTGTTTTATACAATGACAAGGCTAACCTTTATAAAAACAAAACAGTTTAATTTAGTAAATGTAAAGAATTTACACAAGCTAAAGCAGGTGTATATTGTTAAACGAGACTTTTTATTGGATGGAGGTCCATTGTGTTATTTATAACTGTTTTAATCAGTGCTTGTCACTTCGCCTTCAGAGTCTTAAACTGCCTGCAATCGATGTCAAATCATCTCCAGGTTATAATTAATGCACATTTGTATTTATGAACCCATTTGTCCTGGAAAAGTAGTATTTTAACAGATGTTTTTGTCAACTGACTTTATAATTAACATGTGTGACACCCCCTCTCCACTCACCTTGATGCTCCCCCCCATGTACATTACCGTAAGGCGCCAAGACAGTTTTATCGAATCTCCTCTCAACAGATATTAACTGTGTTGCAACTTCTTTCCAGTCATTGCTTTCTGCGGCAGGCACCAGCTAGTGGTTCAACTAATGCCTTATTTTTTATTAAGCAAATCCACGTAGGATTTGTCCTCTGGTTTAGTTAAACCACGGAACCGCTGGCGATAAGCTTCCCCCAGGGATAACTCATTATGCCTTTCAAAATAGCATTTTTCCACAATGGTCCTCTCTCCATCTGTCTGCAAGCCGATAGAGCCAGTAGCAGTAGAGCTTACGTTTGGGCTTATACCGATGCGTGTCTAAAACTACGTGGGGTGGGGAGGGAGGGGGTGGGGTAAGGGCAGTAGTGGGGACCAAAACAATGTTTCGGAAGGCCGTGGTTAGGGGGGGGGGGGGGGGGGGGGGGGGGGGGGGGGGGGGGGGGGGGGGGAGTGTAATGGGGCGACCCAACCCTAGGTCAGTCGAAGGTGTGGGGAAAGTACTTTTAACCTAACAATCCCTCAAAATAAACAAATACAAAGCGGAGGAACTGGGGGGGGGGAGTCTAATGTTGAGTTGGGGGGGGTATCAACATCAGGAAGTCCAAGGCAGGGTATTCTACGGATGAGACTGAAGACTTCTGCTGCTTCAGATGACTCTTTAAGAAACTGCTATGGGCGTCAACAACAGTTTCGTTTTTCTCATAAGTGCTAACTCCTCGTTGCCTTCAGATGGTAGCGCTCGGTAGGCTCACCTCCATAGTCGTTGGATGCGGCGAAATGGGCCGGCCTGGCCGGGCAGACCTGGGAGGGATTCAGTGGGAATAGGGCAGCAGGCACGTGGACCGTCACGCGTGTCGGACGGAGCAGGGTGAGGGCACATCAGGCCTGGAGGATCCCCCCCCCCCCCCCACCCCCCACCCCACCCACCCCCCTTCGTAAGGAAAGGAAAACTGGCACACCATGGCCCTTCCTCTCAACTAATGTGAGCTTTTAAAGGGCAGCTACTCATGTGCTCTTGTTTGGAGTGAGCGGGAGCTGCCAACGCTGCAAGCTGTCTATGTATACGCAGGGTTGTAATGCCAAATTTCTACTCCAACTGTTACTTTTGCCATAAACTTATCCCAGTAGCCTCAACAGTAGGCTAGTGAATCAATCTAGCATCAACTTGGGGTATAAGCGCGTAATGGACGATAAAAATCTATGCGCCAATCGGTAGTAGAGGATTTTTTGTTAGATATCCGCGCATATTGGCCGATAAGGTTCATTATCGTCATTAAATTGCCTGGGCGTTGCTCACGAGACGAAAGTGCTCGAGGGACAGGAAGTACCTTTCCCCACTGAAGGAACCGAGTGTAAACATTCACAGGATTCGAGTTACATAATTGGAAAATGCCCCCCTCTTTTTTGTGCATGCCTACATTGTAGGCAATAACTGCTCATTATCAATTGTGTCTATGCGCGGGAACCTATACGGTTAGTTCTCCTATATTGCTAAAAAATATTCCTCTTAATTGAGGATTTTCAAATTAAGGAAAATGCCTAATAGGACACTGGAGTGGCAATGATCGCCGCCCAAGTATCTAGCATTAGCTGCTGCGTAGCATCCGCGGCACAGACACAAGCTGGCCAGCTCCACGTCTCATTCTTGGACTTACTTTATAGGATACAATGCCCGTGTCAGTAATTCTTATTTATAAAAATATGATTATTATAATATGAAATATTTATATGTATCAGTAGTATACAAAGGGGGGACGACATCATGCTAGAAATGTCTCCACAGTCGCTTTACTGTGTCACTTTTAGCTTTTTTGAGAAGATAAACAGAAGGTGCTACTGCACGAGTGTCAGCTAAAAGACTTTATGAGTATCTATCGAACCTCTGTCTTCTGCCTCAGGGTCTGGATCGGTCCCGCACTAAGTCCGTGTGCTCCAGCACTCAAAACGCTGCTTTTTTTGCTCTGATTCTCGGTCTTTAGACTCGTATTTCTATGGTGTTGGCGTAACCTTCCCTTTTACCACACACTTTACAATCTTGTCTCTCGCTTCCTTGGAATCCTGCATGCTTTCCGTAAATTTTTCTAGTTTGGACAACTCATTCATACTTACACGTGGCAAGTATTTCCTGGTTCCAAGTAATTCCACATCATGACATCCATTGCACTCATATAGTCCTGTTGACTCAACTGTTTCTCATAAGGCGGTACAAGCGTCCCTCAATTCATTGATATTGCGACCTCGTGTTACCCCGAGCTGGTCGCTCGGATATGGTGCGTCTCTGTGCGTGTTTAGCGGAGTGTGTACGACAAGCGTTTTAAACGCTCGTAGCCAGGTAGCTGATGGCTCTGCGAGGCGCTTTCACGGAGCACGAGGGCTGGTTGGGACCCTGTGGCCCCGACTTCTCTGTAGACCTGGGGGTGTATGTGGTCCCGCTTGGTGCGATCTTCTGAAGCTGATGGGTCGTCAATCTCGCCCCCCAGTGAGAAACTCCTTGAGAGTATGTCCTACCCAGGCAGACCCGCTCTGATTCGCGCCGGAGCCCAGCCCCCCCAAGCATATTTAAAACAAAAAACCCATACAAAAACCACACATACTCCTAAACCAATAAAACACCCCTCA